AAATTACAAGATTAAAAATGTTTAAAAATTCCAAATTCAACATTACATAAGCATTTTGTTTATCTCAGACAGTTTAAGTTTCGCTTTACCTTTTTAAATTACATTTTTGTATTTTTTTGTATCACATTTTAGTCTTGCCAAGGTGGTAAAAGCTTCTAAAGACCAATTTGTTTAGACTATCATAGAACAATAAGACTGATCACTGAATTCACACACATTAAACATACCATGGACATACCTGTATGGCTGATGAAAGCAAGTGTAGCACTGAAGCCCCTGTGTGTAATGCTGCTGTCTGACTTGAATTGAAGCACCATGACGCCGTGGTAGGACAGCACAGGAGGAGGAACACTGCCACCACACAGTACCGCTGCACAAAACATGACAAAATAAAGCCTCTTATTTCAAGTAATGTTGCATTATTTTTTAATCTGATAATAATGCAACAAAGACAGACAGGGAGACAGGCCACAAAGGTGCCCTCTTGGAAGCCTATGGTAGATAAAACATGTTGTGCCCTCTAGGATGTCCCTCTAGTTGAGAAAACATGATGACGTTCCCTTTAGGGCGCCTTTCCAGTGAAGAAATTGTGATAAAGTGCCCTGTAGCTCCTTCGGTGGAGAAAACATGAAAAATGGTGTTCTAGGTTGCCTTTCCAGTAGCAAAAATACAATAAAGTGCCCTATTGTGTGTCTTTCCAATGGAGAAAACATGTGCCCTCTTGGTGCCCCTACTGTACAGAAAGCATTAGAAAGTGCCTTCTAGAGTGCCTTTCCAATGGAGAAAACATGATAAAGTGCCCTCAAGGGTGCAAATCCTAACCCTGACTAAGTAGTTTCGCCATAAACGCATCATAATTTTGTGCATGCCCTTTTTTCGCCCCTGGCCCTCAAACAGCCTGAGTCTGCCACTGAGACAGACCTAAACAAAGCAGGACAACGGAAAGTGAAAAAAAGGATAGGATGAAGTGTTTTTGATTGAGTTTTCATTCATTCACCCGCCCTACCGATCTCCTCTGTTCCTTCCACATCTCCCAGGACAGTGAGAGAATCAAAGAAGCAAAGGTCTGACTCTTCCAGGTCAAAGTCAGCAAAGTCAAGCTGCAACACAAAACAATAATCAGATGGGTTACTGATGAGTTTGTGTCAAAATCCTGCAATTTGAAGAGTTTGAGTCATTCATTTGGATTCAGTGAAAGATTTTGAGCATCACCTTCACAACATGACCCCGTGGAGCGTAAATAACCCAGCGGAGGACGCAGTCATTACTGTAGAACTGTGGGTAATTTGGGCTGTGGACAGCAGTCTGATTCTCAACTAGAACAACAGTCCCACATCCTGATTGCACACAGACACACACACACAC